TGGTAGTGAGACAAGTTGTGATATTGGGAAGGAGGAAGGTGGTTTTGATGATGTCTAGTGGCAGGAGAGGTTCAGTACCATGAGCTATGAAAAATGGAGTGTGGCCTGTCAATTTTCATGTGGTAACACAGTTGGCCCAAAAGACATAGTGAGTTAGGGTGGGCCATTTAGTAATATCGCTGTTGCAAGCCTTGACAAGTGAATCATGGATGGTATGGTGCAAGTGCATGACAACTCCATTAGCCTTCAAGTTAAGATAACCTCATTCAAATACATGTAGATCACATGACTTTTCGTGACATTTGCGTTACAATGCCTAAGGATGTTTGTAGAGACACTTTTAAGAGAATCCATTCCATCAGATTGTTCGCATGCATGGTGCAGGCAATCTGATGGAACAGAATTCCTTATTTTGCATTTGTGAATGAGTAGTAGTCTTTATAGTGATTGAGGTACTGCTGCCTTGTTACATTGTGGCTGTACAGTGTGACAGTGGTGTCAATGCACCAATAACTCAGCGTCGCCAAAACCATTATGCCTTGCAAAAGGCCTTTTCAAATTGCAAATTTGAAAGCCTACAATTAAAGCAGCCAGAAGAAGAGAAAGTTAAGCCACACAAGCCATGAGAATGTAAGGAAACATCAATTTTTATTGTGCTGGCTGGAGTACTAAGACTAAAATTAAACTAAAGATGGCACCCTTCTCCAGAGCCTACCCTACAAATTCACCACTCTCACACACTACAAATGGTCTTTCCTAAATTTCACTGTGAGCTGAATTATATCGAGCAATGTTGGGGCTACTCAGAATGAATCTATCGCAAACTTCCTGCGTCGTCGAAAGAAGCCGATCTTGAACAGAATGTCCTTCAGTCTTTGGACTTGGGTCCTCTGCTTGCCATTCACCGGTGAGTCCCTATTTGCCAATCTTGATTCCAAGATGCAGCAGTGTGCTGACACTATGCAATGCCAGTTTTTCCACTTGCTCGTTGAGATTCATGGACGCCTATAGAAAAGGACTCAATGGTAAGCAAGCATGGCAACATTCATTAAATTCATACTGTCCCTATCGTATGACTCGGAATCCTATCCCAAAATATCTATGGACACTTATGTCAAGAAATGTACGGTGGCGCTCAAACAAGGTCACATGATGTAACAGAACATCACAAAAATGTCACATCATGTGATGTAGATGGGTTTGGATGAGGCCTATCTTATATGCTGAGATATGAATGTGCCAGATTTTGTATGTGGCTACTAGCCAATCTAGCACTGTGATGAAAGATGTCCCATTATCTGGGACTATTTCTTCAACTTCTCCCCATCTACATAGGATTTCCTTGAAAAAAAACATGCCCAAGGTGCATCTGGTTGTTAAGACTGTGCTCAGGGGTAAGGCAGAGTCTGAGGGGCTTGGCTTCAGCTCATGTGCTGTGACCCTTACCCAAGTATGTGCCCCTAATTTTGGATTGTAGTCTGACACAAGTTCTATGAACTCTGACAGGATGTCAGAGTGGAGGCTCTCTGAAGGAGGGCTGATGGACTACCAGATGAGCATGGGAAAGTTGGGTGGGGATTTAACTGCCCAACAGAGGAGAAGCGGAGGAATACTGCAATCAGAGCAGAGCATAAACAGAATGACAGATGTATGAGAGCTCTAATCTCAAGTCTGAAGGGTAGGGAGGGCAGCTAAGGCGCAGGAAGTCTGATGAGCAGAGATGGTGGCCAACCCAGGGAGTTAATCTGCTAGGTCAGCAAACAAAAGTTGACAAGGATAGTGCCCAAGTCTAGAAACAAAAGAGCAGGGCTGAGAAAAGGTAATATTCAGATTGAAGACTACAGACCAAGTACAGGATGTCTTATATACTCTAAGGTAGGTAGCATAGCATAGGAGGCTGTGTGCTGAGTGTACAGTATTGCAACAAGGATGACTGAGACATACAAGAGGAGGCTCAGAGAACAATATGTATGTGGTGGATCAATAATCACTCGAGTATAGGAATTACCAGTGATCTGAAAGGGGAACTATAGTACTGAAAGGATATAGGACCAGTTGAGTGGTTCCTTGTCTATAAGGGGACCGGTGAGGCAGTTGGGTGGGCTAACCATTGGGTGGGCTGATGCAAGGGGAACTGAAGGAAACAAAGGGGGTCAGAAGAGCGGAAATGGTGGGGGGAGTAGGATTGGGTGGACCAACAGAGTGCAGGAGCAGAGCTTCAGATAGGGTCGGATAGTAGGAATATAGAGTCAGAGGAAATAGGGGTAGTGTCGGAGGGGTAGTGTCGGAGGAGCACAACAGAGTTGGGCGGAGGTAGCAGGGCTAGTCCTGCTGAGATGCACTGTGTGCATTGTTGGAGAAGGAGGGATGGAGTGGACAGAGAAACAAGGGGTCAGACCAGCAGTAGGAATGTCTATAGGTGGTATTGGAGGTAGTTGAATCTGGTATATGACACTGGTTTCCTTTCTCAACATTCTAAACTCTGACCAGTTGGATAGTGTCATATACCAGATTCAACTACTTCCAATACCATTCACAAACATCCCCACTGCTGGTCTGACCCCCTGTTTCATTGTCCGCTCCATCCCTCCTTCTCCAACAATGCACATAGTGCACATCAGCAGGACTGGCCCTACTACCTCCACCCAACTCTGCTCCACTCCTCTGACACTACCTGTTAAGACCGTGCTCAGGGGTAAAGCGTATCTGAGGGGCTTGGCTTCAGCTCGTACGCTGCGCCCCTTACCCGAGTATGTGCCCCTAATTTCAGAATGCAGTCCGACACGAATTCTATGGGTTCCAACAGGACATCAGAATGGGGGTCCTCTGAAGGAGGACCAACGGGAGTGGACCGGTGAGGTGGTCGGACGGACTAACAGTCGGGTGGGGGAATACGAGCGGAACTGAAGGACCCCCATGGATCGGAAAAGCGGAGGGAGTAGGAGTAGGATCGGGCAGACCAATAGGGCAGAGGAGCGGAACCCCAGATGGGGTCGGATGGAAGGGGTATGGGGTCGGGGGACATAGGGGTAGTGTTGTAAAAGTGGAACGGCATCAGGCGGAGGTAGCAGGGCTAATCCTGCTGAGATGCACTTTGTGCATTGTTGGGGAAGGAGGAATGGAGCGGATGGGGAAACAGGGGGGTCGGACCAGGGGCGGGGATGCTTATAGGTGGTACTGGGGGTACTCAGATCCGGTATATGACACTACCCCTATTTCCTCTGACTCTATATCCCTACCATCTGACCCTATCTGGAGCTCCTGTCATATACCTGATCCAACTGCTCCACCAATATTAATATCCGCTCCACCCGACATCCTACTTCCCCCATTATCCTACCACATCTGCTCCATCTGCCCTCTGCACGACCCAGTTGGCTTCTGCATCTGCTCCTATGGCTCCACTCAACCACCTCATTGGTTGCCTTCCACATCATCCATTCTACTGTAAATCCTCTTGCCCCATTTAGGTATATACTTTCCCCATTTGCACTTAGTACTTACTTCCCAGATCACTGGTACTTACTATAACTGCTCAACTAACTGATCCAACGCGTACATATTGATATCCACCCCAACTTATGTTTTTCACCTGTGTTCACTTACAAATTGTATGCTTGGTACATAGCCTCCCACCAAGGACTAACCAGTCACTGCCTCCTACTTAGAAGTATATAAAACATATCCTGTACTTAGCTACACCCCAGTCTTAATATTACTTGTCTTCCCGCAGTCTCTACTAGTGGGAATTCTCCATAGGACTTTGCTCTCCCTCTGGACACAAGTTTACCTTGTTGTCACCTCTGACCCTCCGCTCTGACTTTAGAGCCGTGCTCTAAAGTGCTTGCTCTTACTTCTCTGACTTCCCCCACTATTCCCCTTGCTCCCTCCATTCAAATAATCTTCCTCCGCCTTCTCCACTTCGCTCCCAGTTGGATTACCACTAGCAACTCTTACCTCGTGACCCACCCAAGTGGACCTAAATGGTCCACTTGTCCTATCGTTGGACATTGTCGTATCCGCTCCAAATTTGAGGCACATACTCAGCTAAGGGCGCAGCACAAGAGCTGAAGCCAAGCCCCAACCCCTCTGCTTCTTCGTCTGAGCACGGTCTCTAACAGCTCCACACCTCCACTCTGTTGGTCTGCCTAATCCTACTCCTACTCCCTCCACCATCTCCACTTTTCTGACCCACTCGGTTCCTCCAGTTTCTCTCATGTTGGTCCACCTGACTGCCTCACCAGTTCACTTCTAGACTAGGAACCACTCAACTGGTCCTACCTCCTTTTGGTACTATAGTTTCTCCTTTCGGATCACTGGCAACTCCTATAACCAAGGATTACTGATCTGTCACATACATATTGTTCTCCGAGCCTCCGCTTCGTATTTCTCTGTCATCCTATTGTAATTCTGCACACTTAGCACATAGAATCCTGCTATGCTATGCTACTTACCTTAGAGTATATAAACATATGTACTTTGTCTGTAGATACCTCAGTCTGAATATTACCTTTTCTAAGCCTTGCTCTTCTGTCTCTGGACTTGGGTATTACCCTTGTCAAATTCTTGTTTGCTGGTCTAGGGGATTGACTCCCTAGGTCGGCCACCTCCTCTGCTCATCCGACTTCTTGTGCTTTGGCCACCTTTCCTGCACATTGGACTTGAGCCTAGTACTCTTGCACATCTGTCCCCTTCATTTCCGCTCTGCTTTGGACTTTGTCCAAGCAGTCCTTTCTGCTCTGCTCCTACTGTTGGTCCCAACTGCAGTAGTCCTCCGACTCTCTCCTGTTGGGCAGACCAACCCCCACCTGACTTTCCCATGCTCAATCTGGTAGTCCATTGGCCCTCCTTCAGAGAGCCTCCGCTCCAATGTCCTGTCAGAGCTTGTAGAACTTGTGTTGGACTACAATCCAAAATTAGGGGCATGTACTTGGGTAATGGGTGCAACACACAAGGTGAAGCCAAGCCCCTCAGACTCCGCCTTACCCCTGAGCACAGTCTTAACACCTGTGAATGATCGACCTGATCAATATAAATTCTGCCTGTGCCCATAGTTTTACTCGAACTCTGAAAAGGTTGAGGTGCTTGTCCTTTTGAGGTTGTACACCTGTGGGAGCATCAAATGGATGGATGAGAGCAAGGGTAATCACACCATTTCCAACTGGGCACTCAAACAGGAGGACCAGGGGCCCAATAATGACTTCTTTCTTGGACTGGATGAACACATAATCAAACCATGGTGCATTGAAAAACCATGGATTGCACCAGAGGTAGTCCATATATTGTTGCCAGTCCACCATTGACTCATAGTTGACTTGTAGAAATTGACACTCAGTAACCTGTTTTGTATCAGCATAGTAAGGACAGCCAGGATTAGACAAACTTACTGTGTGATCTGATTGGAGACAAACTCTTCTTCCATCTGGTAGGGGTATGTTCCAGGCAGGTAGAAATATGTTCAAAAACGAGTTGAGCTTTACACAGAAGTTAGTGAATGTGTTGTCATTCTGGTGAGCACTCTTGATGAGATCAAAGATCTGTGGAGCTTGCCATGACCCAAGTTTTACATGCATAGACCCATCCAAAGGGATGAGATCATGTGTGGTGGGGTCAGCATCTTTGTTGTCTTCATTATCATCCTCTTGGCCTTACTCCCACTTGACTGCCTTATTGGTTACCTTCCGCATCATCTCCACTCCTGGAACCTCTTTCCCCATTTAGGTATATACGTTCCCCATTGACACATAGAACTTACTTCCTGGATCACTGGTACTTCCCATAACCGCTCAACTAACTGATCTGACACATACATATTGATATCCACTCCAACTTATGTTTTTCACCTGTGTTCACTTACAAATTGTATACTTGGTACATAGCCTCATATGAAGGACTACTAGTCACTGCCTCCTACATAGAAGTATATAAAAACATAGCTAATCCTCAGTCTGAATATTACTTGTCTTCCCGCAGTCTCTACTAGTCGGAATACTCTGTAGGACTTTGCTCTCTCCAGACATAAGATTACCTTGTCATCACCTCCAATACTCCACTCCGACTTAGAGCAGTGCTCTAGGATATTCATGCTTTTCCGACATATCCAATCCAATCCTCCTAATCCCCTCTGCCCCTAAACACTTTCTCTGCCTCACCTGCTGTGGGTACAACAATTCTGCTGGGTGCAGAAAGTGTTAGGTCTTGCTGCCTGCTGCTATACCTGCAAGGAGGTGCATTCGACCCTAGAGGGTTTCTGGACTAGAGCTAGGTAGTGCTCAGAGAGAAAAGTGAATCAAAAGAGCACTGCTCATGGTGGTGGCTCAAGAAGATTGTTTGTTTACATGAGCAGTAAAAATGCGTACATAAACTAAGGAAAGTAATGGCAAGTGAAACTAAGTAAAAACCATCAATACAAGCCCAGAGTAACATAACTCCCTACACCACTCTGACAATAATTGATATCTGCTCCGCCTGACATTACACCCTTCCTGCTTTCCCATCACCTCTGCTCTGTCTGCCCTCCGCTTGATCTAGTCAGTTCCCGCATCAGCTCCTATGCTCCCGCTTGACCACCTCATCAGTTACCTTCCATATCATCTCCACTCCACTGGAACCTCTTTCCCCATTTATGTATACACTTTCCCCATTGACACATAAAACTTACTTCCCAGATCACTGGTACCTCCTATAACTGCTTGACTACGACGTAGGGTATATTACATAGATAGGTGGGCCGAGGTAGTGGTATATTGTGTAGATGGGTGGGCTGACTTAGGGGGTATATTATGTAGATGGGTGGGCCAAGAGAGCAATTTATTAGATATTATATAGACAGGTGGGCCGAGGTAGTTGGATATCACATATACGGGTGGGCCCAGATACGTATCATATGGACATGGGCCGAGGTGGTAGTATATTATATAGACGGGTGGGCCGAGATGGTTGATATCATATAGACGGGTGGGCCCAGAAGAATGAGTGTTATAAACATCAGCATACCCACTGTATGAGTGCATACACCTATCATCAACCACCAAAACGAGAAACATGAAACCCTGAATACAATATTTCATACATTAGGCGAATCACCAAGTACCTAGTACCGAGTACCGAGTTCCAGGTAATATCTATCGACATCCGGGTAACTAATATTGAGTTCCGGGTATTTTGTAAATTGAACAAATCACCAAGTACCGAGTACCGAGTGCCGAAACCCGGCACTCAGCACTTGGTACTTGGTGATTTGTTCAATTTACTAAATGTTTAATTTTAGTTTTGTGTTTCAGTGCTCGATGCCTGGAACTCAATGCCCGGAACTCAGTGCCCGGAACTCAGTACTTGGTGCTTGGTGATTTGTTCAATTTACAAAATACCTGGAACTCAATATTAGTTACCCGGATGTCGATAAATGTTACCCAAAACTCGATGATTTCATTCTTTGGGTATGCTGGAGGTACAATGCATTTCAACAACATTTACAGAAATCTAACACTACCAAATTATGTAGACATTTCAACTTCGCCCAGATGACCCTCATCACCACCTTCAACTTCAACCTTGACCTCAACATCCATGTCATCAGCAGAATCATATTCCAGGAAAAGGTTGCATGGATCATCCAGCACCACAATGTCTCTGGCAGTTGGGGGAGTAGGTGATGGGTCCGGGGCTAGTTGAACTTGGCTCGGCTCAAATATGAGACCCTCAATGACAGAGGGATCCTCAATTTTTGAGGGTGTGGGCTCCATCCCTGCCATCGAAAACTCCAAGCACTGAATACTTGGTAGTCGGTACCTACTTGATACTCAAAACTTGGTACTCGGTACTTGGCACTCAGTTCCTAGTACTTGATACTTGATGCTGAATATATTGGTAGATCTTAACCTATTGATGTTGTGAGACTATGGATAGACTCCCCTTGGCAAGGGCTACAATTTTGATTTTTATCTAAAAAGTTCCCACAGTCAAAGTGCTTTCTTGAACCCTCCATTTGCAAGTATTTTGCTTATATCTTACTAGGATCTTAACCTATTGATGTCATGAGACTACGGATAGACTCCCCTAGACAAGGGCTACAACTTTGGTTTTCATCAAAAAAGTTCGATATGTTTTACCACCCTACCCTTACACAGATTATCCAAGTTACTCATAGACTGTCATTATTACATGTATATATGTTTATTATGCTAAGGATCAGTGATATTTAGGCCGAAAATTTGAGATCTGATGTAAAGGGGATATTTCTACTAATCAAAAGCCCACATGGTAAATGATAGACTTGATCCATCCAGGATTGAGTGAATGACAAGCAACACAATATATGTGTGAAAAGTGACAGTTGACATCTGTTCACACAAAGTCACATTTATGTATGATACAGGTTGAAGATTTCATTAAAAATGTGTAGGATACATGGTGGACTACCTAAGGAACCTATACTGCATACTGCCCTGAGGGTAGAGTGTTGGTGGGAGGGATGTGGCATAGAAGTGTTTGAATTGGTGGCCCATAGCCAAGGATACATCAACTGACCATTTTCGATGTTTGGGGCATTTGAGCTTTGAAGTTTCCCACACTCAATTTCTTATCTATTTCACTTCCCCAGCTCTCAATTCCTGGTGGATCTTTCTGTAATTTTAGATCCATCATACTGAATATATGTGAAATATACTCTAGGTGTCTGATCATTAAAGTTCAATAATTCAGAGGTATGGGCCTTTTATCAGTAGAAATATCAAGTATATACACCATCTCAAAGCAACAGCATATTTTGAGCTGATCCTGGTCATGAAAAGCAAGTATATATGCTATGCTAATGATATATGAATATATTGGATTAATTATGCAAGGATAGAGCAGTCAAAAACATGAGAAATGTGAAACATGTGATTTACCAATTTTTGTTGCTGTAGAGTGATCGTGTAGGTGTCCTGGTCCAGTGATATGATGTATCTGAGGGGGGGTACACTATACAGGTACTTGAGTATCAAGTAGCTACCAAGTACCAAGTATTCAGTGCTCGGTACTCAGTACTCAATACTTGGTAGTCAGAACTCAGTGCTCAGTGCTCAGTGCTGAGTACAGAGTTTTGAGTTTTGAGTAGGTACCAAGTACTGAGTATTGAGTGTTGAGTATCAGGTAGGTACTGAGTGCCAAGTATTCAGTGCTTGGTGCTTGGTACTCGATACTCAGTACTTGATACTCAATACTAAATACTTGGTAGTCAGTACTCAGTGCTTAGTGCTCAGGTGAGTACCAAGATATTCAGCATTGAGTATCAAGTACCAAATACCAAGTATTGAGTATTGAGTAGGTACCAAGTACTGAGTATTCAGTGCTCGGTGCTTGGTACTCACTACTCAATACCCAATACTAAATGCTCAGTAGTCGGTACTCAGTGCTCAGTTGAGTACCAAGAGATTCAGCATTGTATACTGAGTGCCAAGGTCTGAGTATCAAGTAGGTACCAAGTACCGAGTATTCAGTGCTCAGTGCTCAGTACTCAATATTCTAGACCGTGGGAATTTTTTCGATGAAAACTATAGTTGTAGCCCATGTCAAGGGGAGTCTATCCATAGTCTCATGACACCAATAGGTTAAGATTGACCAAGATATTCAGCACTGAGTATCAAGTACCGGGAACTGAGTACTAAGTTCCAAGTACCAAGTACTAGTGTTGCCGCAGGTCCAGCTTTTGCCGGTTTTAGCTGCGGTCTGAACTAATAAATAACTGAACTCACACATGATTCTGGCTTATATAATTTATGGTCAGGCTCCGCTCAAGGAGCCACGGTTAACTCAGTTTAAGGGCTTAGAGCCAGTCAAATATATATATTTAAACTATAAGTTAAAAAATAAATTAGAAATTAGAGATCAAAGACTAGATGACTGAAAAGGAAAGTACACGTGCTCTACAATCGACAATCAACACGCAATTATTAGTCTAGCATGGGTCCCCAAGATAATGTATGTGATCCTATTAGTATCTAATCAAAAGCTGAAGTAAATGTTAGTTGTATTGTAGTGCTGCTTATGTGCGAAAATTACAAGAGCAAAGCATCATGCGGAGGGCTGAGGCCAAAAGAAGAGCATGGGAAAGAGCACGGGAAAGAGCACAGGAAAGAGCACAGGACAGAGGACGAGAAAGAGGACGCAAAAGAGGACGCAAAAGAGGATGCAAAAGAGGACAGGAAAGAGGACAGGATCAAAGATCTTGGAGATTGAAGTGGCATTCTTGGTTGCTGAGGATTTTGGGTCACGATGGGGGGCAGGAATAGAAGCTGAAGTTAACTTGAGTGCTCCCTTCCCATTTGTAGGAGTCCCTGATAGCGCACTTGTAAGAGATTGAAACCTACTGTTCTTTGTCACCATGGATTGCCAGAGCTGGCCAGCCATCTTGAGTCTTGACGAAGATATTTGGTGATGTTGTCCACGCCTGTGTTTGTGTGGGCAGACCTCAGGCGACTGTCTTCAGCTATCTGTGTGAGAGGTGCAAGGAGATTTTTCACTTCTTCTAGGTTCTATAGTTGATGCAATCAGCAACTGGACAGTGTGCAACCATAGTCTGAACCTTTAGCCTTTGTATGATCGTGTAATCTAAGGGAAGGAAGAGAGAGAGGAGGTTTGAGTGAGACAACACGACTGTTTAGTTTAAGAATTCGTTTGCATGTGAATGTGTAGTAACGTGGGAAAGAGAGAGAGAGAAAGTTAGAACGAATCAAAGTAACTGTTAAGTTTTAATGATGCATTTTGTGTGTGGGAAGGTCTGGCTCTGCCAGGCCGGTGCATGAAGGCAGCGGTCTGTACAAGAAGCTTTGATCTGAGACAGCTGAAAAGAACTTCAAGAAGTGGCTTGAGATGAGTGGACTTCGAGAATTGGGCTGGAGATGAGAAGGATCAAAAATAAAGCAAACCTTCAGAGTGTGCCTCAATCTGAAATGCGTGCAGACCACAGGTCTGAAGGGAACACAAATACAGACCAAAACACACTAGACATGTAGGAAGGGAGGTGGGTGGACAAAAATCATTGAGTGACACGCAAAATGGGATGGGCGCAGGGAACAAAAGAGAATGGGGATTCAATCTGCAATTCAGGTCCTTTTGACTGGGGTGAACTGGAGGATCTTCACATGGCCACTTACAAAGGCCATGTTTACGCGCATCAATGTTCGCAAGCTCACGATCCGCTTGAAATGGCCACCTCGCTTGCAGCCCTTGCTTCCCGTTCTGTGAGGACTGCCTCGCGAGCGATGATATCTCGTTCTTTCGACACAACAGCTAATTTGTGTGATTTCACTGTAGCAAGCCTGTAAAAGCCATTCAGAGTGATTCACGAGCCCTGCAACACAAACTGATGTATTTTCTGTCTCTGAAACCTTGAAAACTTGACAACATCTGAGGTATTTGGCCATTGCTGTATAGGCGGGAGTTCAGATTCTTCTGCTGCACAACAAGTAAGTCATTATGCAACTGACCGTATAAATATACTCAATTCTGCATGAGTCATAGCTTCATGAAATGGCGGCATCAGTGCGCAAAGCTCGTATATGAGACAGCCAAGTGACCAGATGTCAGACTTGGAATCGTAGGCTCGTTCTTGCAACAGCTCAGGAGACATTAAGATGGCAATTCTGTGAACAGAAAATGATGCATTACATACCAGTGTGAACAGTGGGCAATGAGTTCAATCAATGCAGCTCGAGCTTGAAGGAGGATCAACAAACTCACAAACTGTGTACGACGGGCAATAAGTTAGATCAGCATGGCTCAAGCTTGAAGGAGGATATCAACATGCTCACAGACTGCGGGCAATAAGCTCGATCAGCATGACTCGAGCTCAAATGAGAATCAACACACTGACAGCCTATGGATGGGGGATGAAGAGTTCGATCAGCATGGCTCGAGCTTGAATGAGGATCAACACACTCACAAACTATGAATAGTAGGCAATAAGTTCAATTAGCATGGCTCGAGCTCGAAAGAGGATCAACACACTGGCAGTCTGTAAACGGCAGGAAATGAGTTCCGTCTGCATGGCCCAAGCTCGAAGGAGGATCGACACACTCATATGCTGCAAAGTGCAAATGGTGGGTGGAATGACAGTCAGCTGTTAAATACAAGACATGCTCGAGAGGGAAAACGAGGTAATGATTGAAAACAGTCTACAATAAACACAACGCTGGAACAATCGTAAGAGTAAGAATCGAGTAAGAAGAACGAATGAACATCACGGGAAATAGATGGTAGCAGTGTTATCAATTTTGTCACACTTGTACTCTGCAATAGCTGTGAGAAGAGCATCACGCGCATGACTGTCACCTGTAATGTTGTCGGTGTCAGGTAGTGGGCGCTCATCATCAGAGTCAGAGTCGTTCAATAATAACTGGAATTCCATGTCCTTCTGGGATGCTGCCCAACCTTGAGTGAAGTTCAGTCGCTCTTTTTTCAGGAGGAACTTGACAATCTGCAGCGCCTCCATCAGCACTGGGGAGATGCAATTCTGTTTCTTAGTGATGGTTTCACTACTTGACAAGAAGACCCATTCGCACGGAACAGCAGAGGCCTGTATGGGTAGGTAGTCCATCGCAATAGCGAATATAGTTGGAAAGATTGTCTCAGAAACCTGGTTGACCCCTTGTGGTCAATGATGAGAGGTGTGACTTGAGGAGACACACAGCGCTCACCTGCCAAAATCCAAGGATATTTGTTCCCTTGCTGCTGAGAGTACCCGTTCTGTACGCCCTGAACTCCTGATCAACTGTTTGCGCATGCTCGTGGACACTCAGTAGTGCCCTTGCATCACGAAGTCCATAGCGGCATGAGCCTAGCAAGCGTGTCTGCTGCTGTGGCACTGCAGGCTGGGCAGATTCAGTGGGTTTCAACACTGCTCTCTTGGCATGCATCTGGGAAATATCAAATAATCAGTTCAAACTTCAAGCAATGGTGAATTAGACGTACCAAATCAAGTATGAACTACTTGGCGGCATTACGTCGGGCTTCATCCCAATGAATTTGAACCCAAGACATTAACTATAAAATCGTGAGTCTGCGAGATATCAAACATTGTGAACAATTCGCCAGACTGACACATTGCCACAGCATAGGTGTTTGTGGTGCCCATTTGTTCATTGTACTTGTCAGCCCAGATCAGGCCTATCTCGATGAGAGGTGTGCAGTGCGGAATGAATTCTGCAATCTCCTTCCACCGCTCCATTAACTCTTCAAAAGCCGGAATCACAAGACTCAGCACAGGAGTCTTTTCGGTTGACATGATCTGCTGAGCAGCGTGCAGCACCTAATATAAAATGGTAATAAGGATCATGAGTCTCAAATACATCAATACTGACCTCTAGAATTACTTCAAGGTCCTCCAGAAAATGCCATTCCATTGGAATCAGCCTTTTTGTCAGCAGGGATAGTTGGAGGAATCTATCAAGGGGCTGGGCAACTATTAGTCCCTGACAAGATATTTAGTTGGGGGAGCTTTACCTTGTGAAGGGTCCGTAACGATTCAGCATAATATAGACTGAGTCCCATCGCATGGCCTCATCCAGCAGAAGTTTGATGATTGGGAGCTGCTTGGGATTGCCTTTGTCGTCCCTGTACCAATTTTTTTCGTTCCCCCTAATGATCATCTCCCTAAAAGCCTCACGTCGTTTGTTTGACTTGCGGATTGTGCGCACAACATTTCTGGCGTGGTCGAGAGCCTTGGATCATAAGACTGCGACATACTCGGCCTTCTGGATGATTGCACCATCTACTATCCAACTGTCGCCCACATGCGTAAATTCAGCTGTTGGGTAGTCCTGAAGGATATGCTTCACACATATGTTAATAATGTGTGGGAAACATGGGATTCAGTGAGTGATTGGATGGAAAGTTACTTCACGTGCGCTCAGTAAGGATGACGGCTCTTCCATGCAGGTGTTGTTGTTGCTGGCATTGTCTAAAGTAAAGTGCCCCATCTAAACGAAGTCAGAGCATGTCATATGGTAAAACTACGAACTTACATTCTCCACTACCTCAGCACGATCAAGGAGCATCATCATCTCACCTGCTAACGATACTCCGCTATGACTCCCAGGTATGTGATGAAAAGCAATTAGCACTGCCTTCAGCACCAGCACCGACGAATGATCCTCTCTAGCGATTCAGTGTGCAGTAATCGCCATAAATGGCTGGAGGTTAGCATCTGACCACATGTCAGATGTCAACGAGATCTTCCCTTGCACCCTCTGAAAGATGTAAGATATTTTGTGGGACTCTCGACAACTGTGCACTTACCGCAAGGTAGCGCTTCAAAACCTCAAAATACTCATTGAATGCTTGAAATATTAATTCGCACACTTTGGTGTGATGGAAAATATCCATGTCTTCAAGATCTGGTCGCAGAAGGCGGATCAATTGTCGAAATTCAGGGCATTCAATTACATTGATAGCCTGAAGATAATTAATAACAAAAGCTGTGTAGAAAGTGAATGGCTCACCTGATCATCAGTGACTATGAATTTTACAAGCTGGTGATGCATCTCATCTAGTGAGAAATCAGGTAGCACATCGCCCAGAGGTCCTGAAGTTCCAGGGAGTGAGCTACTAACAGGGGGGGACCGAGTGATCCGATCATTTTAGCTGGGTCTTTCAGCGCTTGAAGTATACCTGTTAACGTCCAGCCACCTCCAATACTAAGTTCTTTTAAGTCACTGTACACGGGCCAGCCATTGTGTTCTAATGCTTTGATGTAACACTCCGTGTGAGCATGAAAAAGATGTTTGCGACGGGTTGATGTCCCAGTGGCAGTACTGTATGTGGTGATGACGTATTCTGGGTCTCCTTCATGGATTTCCCTGGTAAAACATGTAAAAAAGAACAAAGGACTTGTAGATATGATACTTACTCGCAAACTTTGCAGACTCAGGCAGTCATTGATTTTATCATCCCTGAAGAAGTGGAGTGTGTTGTGAGCAGCTTTGGACCGCTTTACTCGACCACACGTGGCATGTGGGTAGGTCCGAGTGGTGTCCGTGGTTGTTTGAAGTGGGCTAGCTGTCGCTTCATCTTCGTCTTCATCACCAGAGACATTGAGGTCGAAAGATTCGCCCTCCTCTGCTGTACGACTTGGACCAGCATGAGTTTGATCAGTTGGCTCGGGGTCTGGCAGGGGGTCGATGGGTAATATGAAGGGTGGATAGTGTGTGCTGATGCTAATATAGCAGTGAGGATGGGGGTAATAGCAGGGGTAGCAGGGACGATAGCAGGTATAACAGGGACGATAGCAGGTATAGCAGGGGTGATAGTGATAGCAGGGGTAGCAATGGTAGTAATAATTGGGATGGGGCCAGCAGTAGGAAGGGGTTCAGCAGCCGTGGGCGCCACAACAACTCGGGCCCTGCCCTGCCCATATTGGCAAGGAGGCATATTGGGGATAGTGAAAATATGACCTTATAATTCAGTGTTTATATAGGTTAGAGTGCAAGGCACCTGCAGTAACGAAAGGAAGCAGTGCATGGCAAAATCCCCTCCATGTGACAAGTTGGGCATATGCCATATAATAAACTTCACCCTGATCGCTGATCAGTGGTAGGATGAGGGTAAGAATGGTAGCCAGATGGTCCAACTTCAGATCTCTATCAATAAATACCGTTAGTATAATCTCCGAGCCATGATGTATCCATAAGACTGCGCAATTAATCAAGTGAAAGGAAGTACCTTTATCAATCGGTTGATCAGTTGGATAACACCCAGGGAAAAGGGAGCGGTGTGTTGGAGCCTGGAGGTGTCCACTGTCCACTGTTCAATATCCATCTGGCTGTACCTGTAATGTTGATACAATGCGATAAGGTCTATGATTCAGCAGTCAATCATAACGACTCCTTCACGAGGGTTGTGCAGCTTGAAGGCCTACGCTGTGCGCAGCATGGTGAAGAGGGTTATAGCATGGGAATCGGAAAATTCAGGAAGGAGAACAATTTCAATTGGCATAATTAACTGTACAGCTTTGTAAAACCTACAGGCTACAGCATTCAAAATATATATACATGTATGTAAACAGAACAATATTATAATTTCAACAGCGTCACGATCTAGTGACCAGTCCCTTTTTTCCGGCGTGGTATTGAAGCAACTGCACACAGAGGGGAGCCGTTACACAGGTGTAAGCTTGCAGACAATCAATCTTAGCTTGATTTCACAAGTGGGAAGATGAAATTCATACTCACATACGAGTCGATCTATGAGGAGGCATTGCCTTCGGCAGGCATGGGGTTACCACCTCAGCTACCAAACATTCACCAGAGAATGGAGGGGAACATGTAACCATTGTGACAGCATCATTGGACTGGCTGAAATCTAGCAAGTCTGTTGTCAGTACAGGAAATGTAGCATGAATACTGTGAATCAATGAATGAAGGTGGTCATAGTCAGGGTCCTCCAAGAATGTGAGAGAACATGTGTAAATAAGCATAGTCGCAAACTCAACAGGAATACCATGACATAGAACTTCAATGGTGGTATTTGCTTTGCGCTCGAGCATGGAAGTGCTGGATAGCTTCTCATGGTCACTGGTCAACCATGGGAGTGACCCACGCAAGAAATAGATCAGCATGTATGTGAGTGACTCGAGATCATCATATATTGATTGAGGCAAATGCAGGAGTGCCAGTGAGACGTCGATTATGACAGAATGGTACATGGAGTGTGGTCGAAGTGTCGCAATATTCCTTTGCTGATGCCAAAATCGATGATAAAGGCAGTGTGCCTCAAATCATGGAGACCCACCACAACATTCTGTGGTTTGATGTCACCATGGACATAATTATGTGAGTGGATGTATTCCAGACGTGAGAGCTGTAAATGGGTTAGCCTATCTACAGTGCCCCTACTACAAACTGACTGACCAGCTGGTCCACTAAGTTGACGACAGTGTGAAGGGCGAATTTGCGATTATGTGTAAGGAAAAGATCATGTAGCGATGACCCAAGGAGGTCAAGAACTAAAGCGTGATATGTTGACTCTCTGCCGAACCAAAGGGCACAGGGAATTCCAACTCCACCTTCGAGTTGTTTCAAAATATGATATTCACGTTGCACAGAAGATGACCTGTCGATTATGAGTTCAAGTTTAACAGCAACCGTGTCACTGGTAATGATGTTTCATGCATGGTACATGACAGCTAAATGTTGGAGTCCATATGTTGAATCAGAATGAAAATGGAGTTGGTATGTGAAAAACATACCATATGAGCCGGATCCCAAAACATCGCCAAGCCTAAATCTACCATCAACTCGAATGGGGACCTTATTCGTCATATAAGAGTAACAAAAATGCAACAATGGATCCAATGAACGAAGAGTGTCACTGAGTGAGACTGTGAGAGAACTTTGGACCAGATGCCACATTTGCAAGCCAGCTTGAGCTGGTGTCATATACCTGATCCAACCTGCTCCGATATTGATATCTGCTCCGCTTTCCAACCCCCTCCGCTCCATCCAATCACAAGTCCGCATTCTGCCCCTACGCTTCCGCTCAACCAGTCCCCTTCCATAACCTCTCCATTCAACTGGATCTCTTTCCCCTTTTAGATATATACTTTCCCCTTCGGTACATAGACCCTTACTTCTGGATCACCGGTAATTCCTATTACCGCCCGATCGCTGATCCGATGTGTACATATTGATATCTGCTCCGACTTATGTCTTCGCCTGTGTAAAGTACTTACAAACTATATCCTTGGTACATAGCTGTACAACATAGTTATCCTGGTCACTGCCTCATACATAGTAGTATATAACATATCATGTACTTAGGTATTTCTCCTCAGTCTTAATATTACTTGTCTTCTCGCAATTACATCTTGTGAGGATTCTCAGTAGGACCTTGCCTCCTCTGGACACAAGTCTCAACTTGTTGTCACCTCTGACCCTCCGCTCCGACTTAGAGCCGTGCTCTAAGTCTTTCCCTTATACTCCGCCCCTATCAAATATTCTCCCTTGTCCCTCCACATTATCCTCCACCTTCCCCGCCCCTACCAAACATTCCCCCTGCTCCTATCCACCCTCCGCATCACTCCCCGCCTTCTCCGCTCTGCTCCTAGTCAGCCTGCCGCTAGTAGCTCTTACTCCCCGACCCTCAAAGCGGACCAAAGCAGTCCACTCGTCCTACCGTCAGACAACATCGGACCCCCTCCAAATTCAGGGCACATACTCGTCTAAGGACGCAGCACAAGAGCTGAAGCCAAGCCCTGACCCCTCTGCTTCCTGAGTCGGCATGGTACCTAACAGCTGGCTGAAGCCAGCTTAAACCGTAGTTCTCAATTTTTTGGGTTGAAGCTGGTTCAATTGGGTTCGTGTGACTAGCAAACTGCCTTAAATTTGAATCAGTGACTCAGTTTGCATTGGGTCAGCCAAATTATTAGTAAACCGGAGAAGACCGAGCCTGAGCAGACTGGAACCAAGCTATGGCACTACTACCGAGTACTGAGTATTCAGTGCTCGGTGCCCGGTGCTCGGTGCTCGGTAGTCGGTACTCAATATTCTAGACCGTGGGAACTTTTTTGATGAAAACTAAAGTTGTAGCCCTTGTCTAGGGGAGTTTATCCGTAGTCTCATGAAATCAATAGGTTAAGATCCTAGTAAGATATAAGCAAAATACTTGCAAATGGAGGGTTCAAGAAAGCACTTTGACCGTGGGAACTTTTTAGATAAAAATCAAAATTGTAGCCCTTGTCAAGGGGAGTCTATCAATAGTCTCACAACATCAATAGGTTAAGATATACCAAGATATTCAGCATTGAGTATCAAGTACCGGGAACTGAGTACTAAGTGCCGAGTACCGAGTATTCAGTGCTTGGTGCTTGGTGCTCGGTGCCCAGTGCTCAGTACTTGGTAGTCAGTACTCAGTGCTCAGTTGAGTACCAAGATATTCAGCATTGAGTATCAAGTACTGGGAACTGAGTACTGAGTACCGAGTTTTGAGTATTGAGTAGGTACCAAGTACTGAGTATTCAGTGCTCGGAGCTCGGTACTCAATATTCTAGACCGTGGGAACTTTTTTGATGAAAACCAAAGTCGTAGCCTTTGTCTAGTGGAGTCTATCCATGGTCTCATGACATCAATAGGTTAAGATCCTAGTAAGATATAAACAAAATACTTGCAAATGGAGGGTTCAAGAAAGCACTTTGACAGTGGGATCTTTTTACATAAAATCAAAATTGTAGCCCTTGTCAAGGGGAGTCTATCCATAGTCTCACAACATCAATAGGTTAAGATCTACCAATATATTCAGCATTGAGTTCCGGGTATTTCGTAAATTGAACAAATCACCAAGTACCGAGTACCAAGTTCCAGGCATCGAGTTCCAGGCATTGAGCACCGAAACACAAAACTAAACAAATCACCAATTACCGAGTGCCGAGTGCCGGGTTTCGGCACTCGGTACTCAATGCCCAGAACTCGGTACTCAGTACTTGGTGATTTGTTCAATTTACAAATGTTGTCTTTTAGTTTCATGTTTCGGTGCTTGAAGCCCAGAACTCAATGCCCACAACTCGGTACTCAGTACTTGGTGATTTGTTCAATTTACTGCAATACCTGGAACTCGATATTAGTTACCCAGAACTTGATATTAGTTACCTGGACATCAATAGATGTTACCTGGAACTCAATAGATGTTGCCTGGAACTCAGTACTCGGTACTAGGTACTTGGTGATTCGTCTAATTTACAAAATGTTGTATTCAGGGTTTTGTGTTTCTTGTATTGGTGGTTGATGATAGGTGTATGCACTCATACAGTGGGTATGTACTGGTACCTACATCAGCACACTGATTAGTATGTTATCCAACTATCTCAGCCCACTGATGTTTATAACACTCATTCTTCTGGGCCCACCCGTCTATATAATATACTACTACCTCAGCCCATACGTCTATATGATATACTACCACCTTGGCCCATATGTCTATATGATACGTATCTAGGCCCACCCATATATGTGATATCCAACTACCTCGGCCCACCTGTCTATATAATATCTAATAAATTGCTCTCTTGGCCCACCCGTCTACATAATATACCCCCTAAGTTGGCCCACCCATCTACACAATATACTACTACCTTGGCCCACCCGTCTACATGATATACCCCCTACGTCAGCCCACCCATCTATGTAATATACCCTACGTCAGCCCACCCGTCTACACAATATACTACAACCTCGGCCCACCCATCTATATGATATATAATAAACTGCTCCTCCGGCCCACCCGTCTAGATAATAATACCACTACATCGGCCCACCCGTCTATATGATATATAATAAACTGCTTCTTTGGCCCACCTGTCTAGATAATAATGTCACTACATCAGCCCACCTGTCTATAATATACATGTCCATCCTACTCGACATATTACCTAGATGGGCCCACCCATATTCATCGGTAATAATATCCCTCCCAGCCCATCTATTAACATCGAGGATATCTTCATCATCTGGCCCATGGTCCGCTGGCCCATGTTATATGGGATATTATGCATGTCAGTTGCCTCGTATAATATGGAGTTTGTCACTGAAGGGGCTCAGGACTCTGCTCTCTCTGGACACAAGATTACCTTGTTGTCACCTCTGATCCTCCACTCTGACTTAAGAGCAGTGCTCTAGAATATTCACTCTTACTTCTCCAACCTATCCAACCAATCTGCCTATCCCCTCCGCCCCAAATGCACTTTCCCTGCTTCACCCGCTTTGCTTCTAGTCGGACCGCCACTAGTAGCTCTTACCTCCCAACCCACAAAGCAGACCAAAGTGGTCTGCCCATCCTATCATCTGACATCATTGGTTCTGCTCCAAATTCGGGGCATGTACTCGGCTAAGGGCGCAGCAGCAAGAGCTGAAGCCAAGCCCCAACCCCTCTGCTTCTCTGTCCAAGCACGGTTCCTAACAATATCTGAGCAAAGAGTCATCCTCTGTCAGGATACTGTGTGTGGCATATATTATCATCTGCAAATTGTAGTTTAGTGTGTTCATGGGATAACAGTACAAAATCATGAACCTTTGAAATGTCCTTGTGCACAGAGCTGTCTGCAAATGAAATACTCATAACCTGGTTTGGGTGCTTCAAATTATGCCAGCATGGAAACTCTTCAAAGCTAGTATAGATATGTCAGACAAGGGCAACATATTACACAGCAAAAAAAAATGAATGCACTTTGTATCTGTTATGCCAAGTGTAATGCAGGCAAACAATAATCAACAAGACAGTTGGTCTTGTGTTACATTCTAGACAAGTGTCTAAAGAATGTCCAGTATTTCAATAAAGGGTAAGAACCGAAGAGGTATCTTAGAATCAAGTCAGAGATGTCAAAGGAAAATCAGCATAGGTTAAGCTGAAGAATCAGCGTCACCTAGCTAGGGTTTATATAGTAAATAGGGTACAGGGTATGACATAATAATAGGTAATGATCAGTAAGCTACATGTGTAGGTAGTGAGGCGTCTGAGTCATACTGAACTAATTATACACTGATAAGAGACATATGTAGTAAGCGTGGATCAAGGGAAAGAAGAAAAGAAGTTCATAGAACAACACAGCCGTAACAGTATCCACTTTGGATACCTTTGTCCTCCTGAGCTTCACAATATACTTCTGCAGTTTAACCCAGTAATGATGTGACCAGAGCCCACCAAGGTTAAAGTGACATCGATCATGTGACAATGCTCAATGGACATCTGAGTATCATGCAGCTCAAATTGAATTCTAAAACATAATAAATGTTAGAGCTTCAGTAAGTAGAGACAAAATCTCACCACAACATCGTGAAGTCTATATTCTTTTAGAACCTCCTCTTTTTATTCCATGGTCTCTTTTTCCCGTGCGGCCATTACAACTTCATGTGACATGTTTGCAGTTCAGCAGGGATATGGTTTTGAGGCATCCCAAAGTGAGTTTCAAGGAACGAGACAAACAGGACATGACCAAATGCTCATGATCCCTCGAGTAAGTGACATAACACACCTGTACATTATCATTAGCAAAAAAACACAATCAGAAGACAAGCAAGACACAATTAGCACTCACTATTCCTTGTAATCAGCTGACAAAATGAGCACACAAAGGAAGAACCAGCGAGAAACACCATCCAGGCAG